GCACACACACACACACACACATACACATAGCAAAAAAACAAATGATCATTGCTAAAAAAATCTGTCATTGGCTTTTGTGAAAGTAAAACCACTTACAGGTACACCAGGAAGACCCTGAGGCCCAGGTTCTCCATCCAAGCCCCGAGCACCCTGCATAAAAACAAGACAAAGAAATAAAATTAAAATCAGTCATGCATGTTAAAGGGCACATCCATCTTTCTAAATAAATTTAATAGCCAAATGAAAAGGAAGTTTTGTGTTTGTAATACATACTGTTTGTCAGTGAGCCCTGAGGAGTATTTACTCAGACATCTCAGATACGAAAACACTAGTTTACATCTACTCATCACAGCAACAATACTTAAACACAATCTTTGATATCACTCTGGATATTTTAAGTTAACTCTGCATCCATTCTCAATTGCTGACATGAACTAACCGTTGGTACCTATTCAGAGAACTTGGTAAATCTATTAGAACAGGTTTAGCAGCCACCCTCCAGGGTTCTCAGAATGTCAAAAGAAATTCATTAATGGTGTGGGCTACGGAGCTACCCTAAGAACAGCTGCTACACTCTGTCGGGACTTCTAGGACTTGGGATCTCCCACCAAGATCTAGAAGTCGTCGTCCAGCCATGTGATTCAGAAGAATGAATTGTTAGAAGGACCTGAACATCCCCTCTCCCATTCTGTATAGATGTTAGGTTCAGTTTGTATAAAGTGACTGGCCCATATTCTCAACAACAGAACCACCCTACACCAACAGATAGCATAAGAACTACCCAGAGCTTTATAAATCTAATTACCTTGAAATGATCTCTGACTTCACTACGTATTATATACATCACCTCTTTCATTATGAGAATTGTAATGTGATTTTAAAACAAAAATACAGTTCTCTCTACTTATGTTACCTGACAAAATACAGCCCCCTTCTTAAATCTTTTTCTCTTCTACTAAGTGGTTAAGAAGGCGTACATACAAAACTGAAGTGAACAGGCCGTGTCCTAAGGAACCAGGTTGAGACGGGAGATGATAAAACAAATAGAAACAGTCAAAAGAGTATTGGATAGATTCCAGGCCAAGAAAACCAGGTCGATAGCATCTGTAGTAAGAATTAAAATTAGAAAATCTTTGATAGAAGGTTCAGACATGGGTAGAATGAAAGAAAGACCATGACTGAGGCAGTGGCACCAAAGAGCCTTGGAATTCTTTGATCCCCAAAAGCTAGAACAGAGCAGAGGCATTTTACATTCACCAGGGAAAAAGAGATTTGGAAGACATGAAAAAGACCTTGAATTTATCATTCACCTTGCATTATGAGAGCAGGGCCCAGCCTTTGCATTACAGAAATGGCTTTGATGCACTCGCACTCCCTCTCATTGCTGTTCGGCGTGAGCTCAGACCCAAACTGCTGTTACTAGGTAACCACTCCACGGGTCTGAGTTCACAAGAAGAGCCTCCTTGTTTT